GATGGATGGATGGATGGATGGATGGATGGATGGGTGGGTAGATGGATGGATGGGTGGATGGATGGATGGATGGGTGGATGGATGGGTAGATAGATGGATGGGTGGATGGGTAGATGGATGGGTGGATGGATGGATGGATGGGTGGATGGATGGATGGGTGGATAGATGGGTAGGTAGATGGATGGGTGGATGGGTAGATGGATGGGTGGATGAATAGATGGATGGGTGGATGGATGGGTGGATGGGTGGGTGGATGGGTGGGTGGTTGGATGGATGGGTGGGTGGATGGATGGATGGATGGATGGGTGGGTGGGTAGATGGATGGATGGGTGGGTAGATGGATGGATGGGTGGGTAGATGGATGGGTAGATGGATGGGTGGATGGGTGGGTAGATGGATGGGTGGGTGGATGGATGGATGGGTGGGTAGATGGATGGGTGGGTGGATGGATGGGTGGGTGGGTGGATGGATGGATGGATGGATAATAGATGCATATCTGTGTCAGTTACAAATGGCAGGCTTCCATGTACCTCTTTGCCTCTAAACTATGCATTTTCTTTTTATTTCTTCATGTCCCCTTATTATACCTTAGTCCTCCCAGTGACAACTGCAGGCATTATTTGTCTCTGTAAAAAGGGGCTAAGGAGATTTCTTCAGACACTTATTGAGCACTGCCTGTATGCTCAATGTAGTGCTAGGAGTAAGCAAAAATTCAGCGGCAGAGTCTCATGCAGGTCTCAGTGTAGTTAGGGAAGACAGACACATTAAAATTGGCTAGAATAAAATACTGCAGGTGTCATGGTGGTGCCAGGCATTGGTCTTGACAGAAATTGAGAGCAGAGACATCTCTTAGAAGGTGGCGAGGATGATCAGAGAAGATTTAGAAGTCCAGGGGATCATTGAGCTACGTCTTCAAGGCAAGCAGGAATTGAACTGGGTAATGTTCCCAGCACAGGCAAGAAACAACATTCACTATTAGGAAGCCAGTTGTGAGCTTGCTAGTGGGGTGGCATAACGTTCTAACTTCTCTCCCACAGGACAGATCCGGTTTGCAGCCAGCCTTGTGCTGGGTTGAATGATGGCTGTTTATGGTTTAGGTATTTTCCTTCCTTGACTTGACTTAAGGTGGCGTTGGTGCCCCCTTGTGGAAGTAGTGAGTAGTGATGGAACTGCCTTAGCACACTGTGGGAAACTTCAGGGTTTATGTACCATAACTTATGTAAACACTTGTTTATTGTACACCAGAATCCTCTTGAGTTTCATTTAAAAGGACTTAAGACTCTCATTCCTGAATTAGATATTCTCGTTCTTTCAAAGCTGTTGGTTTTACTCTGGCCATTTAAAGTAGTATAACTTGCATTTATATTATGCATTTATACACACACACATATTTGAGTTAATAATGCAGTGAATTAAGTTTTAATAGCTTTGGGCATTAGTGATCCCTATTTACAAACACATACACATACAGACACACACTTACACAGCTGAATCTTCAAAGACCAAATAAAAGGAAGCTAACTAGAAGACCAAAGCTTCAGCCACGGGTAGCATTTTGGAAGCATCCTAAGTGAGAAGAGTTGCGTTCACTCCTTCGCTCCTGATGCAAGTAAGATGGACCATTCCCAACATCTTGTGAAGAGCATTTTCCTTCAAAATTAGGAGTTCTAGGACAGACCTTTTTTTTTTTTCTTTTTCTTTCTTTTTTTTTTTTTTTTTTTTTGAGGCGGAGTTTCACTCTTGTTACCCAGGCTGGAGTGCAATGGCACGATCTCGGCTCACCGCAACCTCCGCCTCCTGGGTTCAGGCAATTCTCCTGCCTCAGCCTCCTGAGTAGCTGGGATTACAGGCACACGCCACCATGCCCAGCTGAATTTTTGTATTTTTAGTAGAGACGGGGTTTCACCATGTTGACCAGGATGGTCTCGATCTCTTGACCTCGTGATCCACCTGCCTCGGCCTCCCAAAGTGCTGGGATTACAGGCGTGAGCCACCGTGCCCGGCCTTTTTTTTTTCTTTTTAAAGATTTATTTTATTTTGTGTTTTTTTAGAGACAGGATCTCTTTCTGTCACCCAGGCTGGAGTGCAGTGGTACAATCATAGCTCAACACAACCTCGAACTCCTGGGCTTAAGTGACCCTCCCACCTCAGCCTCCCAAGTAGCTGGAATTACATGTGTATACCACATACCCAGCTGGCTAATATGTTTTTAATTTTTATTTTTTGTAGAGATGGGGTCTGGCTGTGTTTCCCAGGCTGGTCTCAAACTCCTAACCTCAAGTGATCCTCCCTCCTCAGCCTCCCAAAGTGCTGGGATTGCAAACATAAGCCACCATGCCTGGGCTTTATTTTACTTTTTATTGGCCCATAATAATTGTACATATGTGGGCTACAGTGATAAAGCTTTGATACGTGTACAATGTGCAGTGTTTGAGGTTTCAGTAACCTCAAACGTTTCTCATTTCTTTGTGGTGAGAACATTCAAAATCTTCTCTTCTGGGCCGGGCGCGGTGGCTCAAGCCTGTAATCCCAGCACTTTGGGAGGCCAAGGCGGGTGGATCACGAGGTTAAGAGATCGAGACCATCCTGGTCAACATGGTGAAACCCCGTCTCTACTAAAAATACAAAAAATTCAGCTGGGCATGGTGGCGTGTGCCTGTAATCCCAGCGACTCAGGAGGCTGAGGCAGGAGAATTGCCTGAACCCAGGAGACGGAGTTTC